CAAGGAGCTCTTTAACTTATAACAGGATGTAACACACTGAGGCTTCTGAATGCGTTACGGTCGTAATTCCCCACTCTCTCCTGAGGCTCTGGGATGGAGCTGTGCTCCTCCTTGGCTGCCTGACTGCCACTGGCCTCATCTGCCACAGTCAGAGGCACCTGAATGGGGAATCCTCTCTGCATGCTGCCAGCTTGGGGGGCAAGTGGCACTTGGTTCTTTCAAGCCAGGAGGGACCCACTGGTGTCACCACAGCCCCTCCTCACACAGCCCAACACAAGGCTCTGCTGAGCAGGAGAGGACATCTGAGTTACCCCATGTGTTTTTAGCTGAAGGTATTTTGAAAACCTTTTGTTGGGTTAAAGAAATGTTTTCTTTTAATTTCAGTAGAATTTAGAGTTCATTTGCTCCTTCACTGTTTTTCCAGATAAATGTTCATTTTCTGTTTTGGTGCTAATCTGCCTGATGTATTTTTCTTTGCTTTCAAACAAATTGTATTCTATGTTGCCTTTAGTTTTACCAGGTAAACAATTTGGTACTTAAATTTATTTTCAAGAGATACCTCACCAGTCCCCTTCCCACTTACAGCTTTTTCCAGTAGCTGTTGGCATGTCAAAGCACCTCTCCTGAGTATGGGCAACCAGAAATGCAAAGCCTCTTGTCAGCACATCTTATGCTTTTCTATCTGTCCCTGCGGAACTATTCTGATTTGAAACCAAGAAGACACCAAAATGGGGAACATCTTAAGAGGCCATCCTTATAATGACTTCCTGTGTCTTAAAAACTGTAGGTTTATATGTATTTTATGTATAGACAAAGTCCAGAAAGGACTCACATTGGAACTTGGTTTGCAAAGAATCACTTTTTGAGGAAACTGATGAACCAGCTGTTGCTGGAACAACCATCATGCCCAAAGGATCTTTGGCCTTTCTACTGAAATTCCTAACAGATTTGGAAATTAATGACATTTCCAGGAGGAAAAATCAAGAACTGACTTTAAGGCAGCAAGTAATTCCACCTGAGGCATGGGAGAGCCACTTGGTAGCTGAGTTGTTTGGTCAGGGACATCCTTAAACTTGTGCTGAGAAATATACAAAGAAAAATTTCTACAACAAAATAACATTAATTTGAGATCTTCTTTTCTCCTTAATTAGTTAACAGTGATTAACTACACAAGTTCTCAGTGAAGTGTACTAGCAGGTCAGCTGTGTTTGTCAGTAATCAAACATACACTTGGCAAATTATTTTGCAGAAGGCTCTTAACAGAGATATCTGCTATCAATTAAAAGAAACCACCATAAATTCAAGCGTGATTTGTATTTCTAAATGTCTACAAACATGTTCTGCTTCTGCTCAAGTTCAAATGCAGCCAAGTTTAGACAAGAATCACTAATTGGTTGTAAAGGTCATGCCTTTTGAATATATGCATATTGGAGGTGAAATGTATTAGAGTGTGGTATTATACTTAGGCTCAGTGCTAAATTTGGAATAAATGGCATTATATTGATTTGATAAGCTGCTCAGATATGCTGAAACTTTAATTGAATGTATTAGAAGATGTTAATTCTAACAGTTATACCCTTAAAAGTAGCTTAGGGATTTGAAACTTCTTTCTCACGCAGGCCTTCACAAACCCTCAAGAAAGAGAAAGCGGAATTTTGGAGTCCTTAATCTGAGACCATGTGTCAATAAATATCTCAGGAGAGGTTCTTTCTTTTCCTTTTCAATATGGATGAGTGCCCTTTGAAAGCCAAGAGGGAATTGATGTAATCTATTGATTGCCATTTAAATGCCTTTATTAGCTAATTAGTGCAAAATGTAAGATGTTTCTGAGCAGAAACAAGCAACAGCCATGAGAATACAGGAAGGTTCCTCTGAATCTTGGAGGACAAATGCCCTTATGCAGAGAATCACCAGCAAGTGAGGAGTGTAAATAGTGTCTGCTGTAAAACTGTTACAACATACTAACTCTGGTTGGAATTGTGAGAGCAGTGTTGGAACTGTGAGAGCAGTGTGGTAACTGTGAGAGCAGTGTTGGAACTGTGAGAGCAGTGCTGGGACTGTGAGAGCAGTGCTGGGACTGTGAGAGCAGCATCATGCCAACAGCAGCCGCTGTGCAAACCTCAAGCAGCAGTGGTGTATCCAGCTTAACCCCCATAGCTGGGAGAGCATCTACCCGGGAGACACTGCGCTGTTCAGGGAAACCGCCAACACTGAAAAATAGGTCATGAGCTGGAGTCTGCCCAGGTCTGAAGTGGCTCAAAATCATTACCATCTGTTCATCTGAATTGAGAGGCTGGTATCAGTCCAGTTTCAGGTATTTACACTGTAAAAAAAACCTTCAAAAGTGATCCTGTCTGGAAATGAGGCTGGCAGAAGGGAGGCATAGCCTGGAAGTTCTAAAGGAGTTCCTTCTAGCACATGCTAGATCCCCACAAGATGGCGGGGATCTGAAGCTCACTTACACATCATCCCTTTATGAGGCATCAGGAGGCAATTCTTCCCTCTACTGTCAGTTTGGCACCTTCCACTGGCCAACAGCAGCCATTAAGATCAGTATCTGATTAGTATCTTTGAGAAACATTTTAGGATTACAGCTCTAGAAAGAGATCTACCCATACAAACTTCCTAATGGGATCTTGGAGACTGTTCTGAATATCTCCCCCCCAAATCCCCAAATCCCCCGCGTGAAGCCATGGCCCAGCTATAAAGCCAAGTTACTCCTTTCTCACTGAGTAAATTATCATGAGCTACTCAGCTAACTGCTGTTTAAATTAGCGAAATGCTGGGGGAAAATGGGTGGACAATTCCCCTTACAAAGACGATAAGCACCACTCTGTACTTAGGAGAACTCGGCTTTTTCCAACTCAGAGCACTGTCACTCCTACTGATGCCTCTGATAGCAGAGTGAAAAGAGATGCCAAGGGAGAACAAGTCCCCTAAAACAGAGAGGTGAAGTCTGTGCTGCAGGATCTCAAAAAGCAAGAGTCCTCTGAATTATTTCAAGTTTCAGCCACCTTTACCATCTTATTAAGTAACTAATAAAGATTGCACAATGAAGTACTTATGTGAACATACGTGTTTATTCTAAGGCATAGCTTTTTCCCTTTTCAAATCAACTAAAGAAGACTCTAATTACAACACTTTCATGGATGCATCACCTTATTTGAATTAATTACTCTGCAAAAGTTAATACAACTGAAATTATGTAGTGTGCCTTGAGAATGTCAAAGAGGGAGAAGCAAACTTAGGGCTCATTCTTCTTCCCACTTGGGTCAAACACCCACTGCTGATTCTCTGCTCTCATCCATGCCCACCTGACTCCTGTCCTGGCCTGATGTAGCTGGCAACACCTGACAGATAAGCTCATTTACAACCCTGATTCCCCTAGCACCAGCAGACAGACACAGCTCATCTCAAGATTATTAGCAGCACAACAAAGCATTCATACATTTACCAGACTTTGTATCCTTTCACATGAAACACTCATTCCTTTGATCTCTCTGTGAGAAGGGGAATCCTTGTTGTGTCAAACTATTAAGGAAATGAAGGAACATCCCAATACAATCCCTCTTTCTATATGAACTGTAACAAGACAGTCAAAAGAAGACATTTTTCCCTAAGATCAGTATAGTGACTATAAACAGCACCAATATTTCTAAACAAGTTCTGCTACTGCTTTTGACAGGTTCACTCAGCTCATTTTTGCTGTAGAGATAATACTGTCTTGAGTTCATAATTAAGCAGAATAAAAAATTTTATACACTAATGTCACCCTTACAAGGTCAGTGCTTATCTCACAGGATTTTAACACAAACAGAAACTTCTAAAATGTACCTGCTACCACAGTTAATTAAGAACCACTGAGTTTCTCTTTTAATAGAAAGACACTACAGGCAGAGTGCAAAAGCTTCATAAAAGACCTTTGCATTCCTTTTCAGGTTTACATCAGATGTCTATGTAAATGTGTGTGTGTGTGCAGTCATGTATTGAAATTTCAAGTAAATTCAAGGGGCCCTGAGTACTTCTCCAAGGAGCCCTCAGTATTTCATCAGCCTCCAGCAGCAAGGGTTTTTTTGTCTCCCTCCTCCCTCCCGCTTGCACTTGGCCAGTGTGCATGACAGGCAGTAATTAGTCCTGCAGCACTGACCACTCTTCTATACAAAAAAAAATGCTGGTTTGAATGGCATCTGATTGGCACTGCTGAGAGAGAACCAAGAGCTCCCTGAAAGGCCTGAGCATTCCAGTTCACCCTTGGAAAGATTAGAAATTAGAGCTTTTCAGGACGATGTTTTCAGAGACATAGAAGTGGACTGAGATCCTATTTTGAGTTCCTAATGCTTCTCACCAAACTCTGCAGTTCAGCCTGTGTTTGGCAAGAGAAGAAAGAAAGGATGATCTTAAATAAAAGTGTGCACCTGCCCCTACCCCCAAATCTTGCAAAACCCGCATCTCCCTAACCAAGGTGAAAAACAACCAGAGTTCTGTGGTACAAAGTGTTTATCTGACTGTCAGATACAGCCACAGCCAGATGCTGGTGAGAAATGAAGACACAACCATGGCAGCAATCAATTCTCCACCAGGAATGAACACAGACCTCCCATCCCCCCTTCATTCTGGCAAGTGAACACCGATGTCGGATGGCATTACTGGCTGCCAGCTGGGCACACACAGCAAGTAGGTCAAGAGCATCACTCCTTGCAAGAGTTTTCTCTGCTAAATATTGTGCCAATGACTGCATTATTGCTCATCAGACCAAGGCTCTGAAACTGGTGTTACAAAACGCTTCCCATGACAGCAGAGGTCGGGTTTTCCATCTTGACATGTTTAAGGTTAAGCAAAACCACCCATTTTTGATAAAATGCCTTTTGATATTAAAATCTGCTCTCAGGCCTGTCCTGATTGCACAAAGCAGCTTTCACCAGGATGGCTATTACAGCTGGGTAAAATCAAACAACTGAAACACATAAATTAGGCACTTTAAGGAGATTTAACAGACTTACTCTAAAGAATTCTTTGGTTGAGCCTGAATCCAAAGTGCCATAGGCTATTTCAGTTTGTTTAGCCAGGTCCTCTGCACTCTCTATGGGTGAAACCATCCTTTCCACCGTAAGGAAGGCAGCGAGATTAGCAGTGTAGGAAGAGATAATGATGAGAGTGAAGAACCACCAGACTCCTCCAACAATTCGCCCTGAGAGAGATCTATGGAAAAACACACATCATTAAATTGCTTTGAACAATTCTTGATTTTTTCTTTCTTCACTGAAGAGAAATTCACATGCACAACCCTTTTGTCCAGATCTTCCAAGTATCTGTGAACAGGTGGACTGTGAGCCAGCTCCTGATAACCTTCCTCAGGAGTGAAAAATCAGTGCACACCTGGTCTTACCTAGTGCAACTCTTTTAGTACTGAACTTCTTTCAGTGAAAACAAGAACAGAAATTAAGAGATAATTCATTTAAGAAGAGGAATGAGCTCTCTTGACTTCCACAAATCCTCTGTTGGAGAAGGCTTTTGCCAGAAGATTTTTGTTGTCTCTGCATGCTCAGCCTTTCCCTGTGCTGGACATGCTGGGATATGCCAGCATAATGTCCCTTTGCCCAGCTTGGAGGACACAAATATACCTTTTACTGCATTCACTCCCAAAATGTAACATACAGTAAACTGCAAAAAGGAATCTGAGTAAACATGCAAAAGAATGTACCAAAAGTGATCCAGTATCCTTCTCTCATCACAACCTAGCAGGAATTATAAAATGAATCTGCATATTGAAGTGAGAAGAGAGGCTGGTTTGGTTTATATTTTATGTTAAAGTTTGCATGTTGCACTATTCTAAGTCAAGCATATCCCTGCTTTATAAGCATAAAGCAACAGAGAAGGAAACAGAAAAAAAAAAAGTGTTTAGTTTTTGTTGCGGTCTTTGGTTTTTGTATGTTAAAGGGATTCCATAAGGACTTAAGAAAAAGCCTACTGCAAACACATAATTACAAAACGCCTAAGTCAGAAGGTCTGGATCCTGTCAGCAAGAGCTCTTGATGCTTTACAGCAACTGAGCATCAGCCTTGAAGTATTTGATCTGGGCTGAAGGATGGCAGTGACACATCACTCTGCTGGGTGGGGAATTTCATTGCCATGGACATTGCTTGCTCTTCAAATACAGCATGTTGACCAAAAATCATATCAACTGCTGAAAGCTATTTCATGTTTTCCCTTTGCTCTACTGATACCAATGGAGGAAGAATCAATCCCAGACACATCTGTGGAACCTGGGTGCTGTAGTCCTCAGTTTGTGTGAAGAGAAAAAACAGAAAACTCTTACCTCTTTATTTGTTTCCTTCAAGCCTCTCAGTGCCATCCCCAGACAGTGGGTACAAGTTGTCCTACCAACAGATGGAGATAGGCAAAAACCAAAAGTCTCATGACACGCCCCCACCACACCCACACAGGGGGGTTTGCTGGTAAACAGCCCAGTCTTGGCCAGAGCCTGAGATTGCCTGAGCCATTAAAAAAATGCCATTAAATTATTCAGAAAAAAACCCACAAAAAAACCAAAAATCAAACCAAACAAAAAAACCTCAACCATATCCATACAACATTAAAGATCATAACAAAGAAAAAGATCACCAACACAATAAAAACAGGGAGCTCTATCTGGAATATGTGAGAGGAATGTGGAGAAAGGTAAAGCACCATTGTTCTCCACTCTCCTCTGCCCAAGAAGATAAAGCAGCAGCTCCCACTGACAGGGCAGATGAAGGCTGGTTCCTCAGAGTAGGCACAATTCCACCAGATCACTCACAAGTGGAGGAGGCCTCCCTCCCTTTCTCGAGGGCCTCCCAAGAGAATAAAAGGCTTCCAAGCTTCAACCTGGGCTGTGCAGACATTGTGCTCATTAACACAGGGCCAGAGTTGCTGCAAAGGGAATTTGCAACAATATAAATACAGAATAATGCCTTAAGTCATGGAATCTATCTACCTAACTCTACATTCTTTGTAGGTATCATGTGAGTGGGATTTTGCAGATAGCTGCAGGCCTTTTTGGCCAGTTTCTTTAACAGATAGGGTCTAGGCTTTAGCTATTTGGTAAAGCTCAATACCCTCTTACTTGGGCTGATACAATTTTCTCCAACTACAAATAAGTGCCTGATGAACTTGTCTAATAAGGCTTCCTTTGGAGCCAGCAAAGAAAAAGAGAAGAGCCTGACACCCTCAGAAAGAGATTTATCTCACTTGCTGTAGTGTGGAATAAATCTAAAGTTGTCCATCTGTCTCATGACTTCAGAGGGAACCAAGATGCCTCACTAAAAACCAGTCTATCGTTTTCAGATGGCTACATCAGGTGGAATTCATTCTCTAGCTTCCTTCTTCATTACACACTTTCCATCTTCAGACAAGAACTGGAATTGAATTTCTCCTCCCTGCAGTGATGTGGAAAGTTTCAGAGCCAGACTGAGGAGGGTTTTGGCTGGCAGGTCCAGCAGATGAAACATCTACTTCCCTACAGCAGGACAAGCTCTATCTGGAGTTTCCAGGTTCCCATGGCCCTCTTGCTTTAAGGTAGGTCTTGAAATAGGAAGATGAAAAAAAGATTTATCTGGGTGTTCTCATAAATTCAGTGGAAGCATTGGGAATAAAATAGTATGTGTTCATTTTCCGTATAGTTTCCCATAGGAAACATCTTACTTTCATTGGTAGCTGCCCCTTCTGTTGGTAGGACAGATGGGTTGCTAGGATGGAGACGTGCAGAAGACAAGTGTTTTCCAAACCAGTGAAACTTCAAGCTCTCACTGCTCCAACAATAAAAGGTTTGTGCCAGGCTGCATGTTCAGACAGCATCCTACACACTGAGAAAGGTAAAAATACCTTGCCCCAGAGGTCTCGCAACCTGCATGAACCAAGTCAGACAGATACAGGAAAAGGACCACCTGAGAGGCAGGAGATGGGAACAAGGGGATCCCTTGATGAAAAAGGCACTTCCCCAAGGGTCCTATGTGCAAGAGAGGATCTTGCTAGATGGGGACCAGAGCTGTTCTCAGAGGAGTTGAGGTCACTTCAAGGAGAACTGGATGTCACTACAGTCGTTTCTCCCAGAGTCTTCCAATGAGCACAGAAAGGAGGATTAAACAGCAGCTACTACAGAGCAGTCTGGGCTGACACAGCTGCCACTTGGTGTCACAGGATGAGGCAAAAGAAAAATCAAATAAACCACAAAGTTGACAATGAAGGAAAGACAGACAGACAGAGACTTGAAGAACAAGAACATGGACAAGCATGGGCTGGCAGCCTCCTTGACCAAAGAACCCCAATTCCCGCCATCCATCTGCTCAAATGAAGACTCCTTATACCCACTGCAGGGGCTGGTGTAGAGGAATGCAGGAGAAAAAGGGTTAGTACAGGTACACCAGGCTAGTAATCAGAGAGTGCCTGTTTGGTTTATACTGTGAAGCACAGAAATGTTTTTCTATTGCTCAGATAATAATTACAGAAAACTCAATCACAGTTTTTAATACCAAGCACCACTTTTGCTGATGTAAGCCATACCATGTGCACATGTGCAATGATGTAATTAAAAACAACCAATTAATGCTTTAGCTTAATACAGTTTTCCAAATCACCTCAATAAATAGATACTTTGTATTTTGTGTGACATTTTTTAAAAGTGAATTAGAGTGCTAACAAATGAGAGAAGCAACACAGATCTGGAACAGCAGGATTATAACTCAATTGTCAAAACAAAGTCAGATGGTGTTTTCAAAAGCAAGTGAACAGGAAGAGTGCATACCTTGAGACGAAATTTAAAAGGAAGCATGGAGTCAAATGAGAGCAAATTAGTAACGAGAGAAAAAACAAAATAAACATTCAAATTCACATTCAGTTTCCAGGAGAATAATATATATAAAATACATTCAAACAAAACTTCATTTATCAAAATAGTTTGGATTTTGTTTCTGCTCAAGACCATAAATGATATTTGATTTCCTATATTACAGATACATAATAAGCTTCTCACACATTACTCCATTTTTATCTGGGCTGTTTGGATCGATATAAGACAGTTGTTATGCTGACAAATAACCCTGAGTACTTGTCCTAGTGTGGAGCCCCTCAATATCCCAAGCACACCTCAGCTGGTACTCCCAAGCTGCGGGCCCAGCCTTTTGCTCTCACGCCCAGCCAGCCCTCGGCCTCAGAGACACAACAGGCAGACACAGCATCTGAAGCTCCAGCTTGAGATGCTCTGTCACAGGAATGGCAGTGGGAGTTTCAGGAATGTCAGGTTACCCTCTCATTGGTAGTGTGAAAGTCCCACAAAATCATTCCCATGGCCTTTAATAGGAGTCTCTTGAGTCTTCTGCTGTGAAAGCAGGGACCTAGAAATACACCCTCTACATGACCAACCTCTTGAGACAGTTTTTAATAACCCCCCTGTCTTTTTCCATCAGCAATTAATTAATCTAGCCTTTTTGTTCTACATGAATAAAGAGCAAAATGAAAATACATGCTCTCATAGAGATTTCAAAGATACTTTTGCTCAGAACAGTGTTACAAATTTGACTGTGTTTTTTCCTGATTCCATTTGCTGTACACATCTTACATAAAAGCAAATTTAATAATATACTTTTGATCCCTCGAAAGTGAATTTTCAATGCTTTAGCTCACTATGCAGAAAACAGCAGCCTTTGATAGCAGAACAAAACTGCTGAAATAAATGTTGATTACATCAAGGGATGCACTAACCCCCAGCCTTTGGCTGCTCTCCGATTCTGTTTAGACGACTCCTATTAAATACAGAGAGGAGAGTATAGGGATATATCCTCTGGAATATCCACACAGCATACTCACCGAGGATAGATCTAACTAGTCATTAGATGTCACAGCTGTTCCACACAAAGGCAGCTGAAAGAGCCTTTATCAGCAAGTACAAAAGTGATCTCTCCAGACTGCTTGTCGGCATCTCTCTACGAGTGCTGTATGCTCTCATATAAGAAATTTATTCAGACAAAACTCACAATGGAAGAATGAAGCCCCTTTTAGTGGCAATAAAATAGTATGAAACATTCATATAGTCAATGTACTGTGAATGGTGCAACCTTACAAAGATACAGATTAAGAATGGAATACTTGGGAATAGTCCCTTCCACAGAAAAGAAATTTGACATTTTAATCAACCTCAATCAACATATCAGTCAAGGGAACAGTGTTTCTGGAATTTAAACCAAAGTATTAAATTTCTCTTTTTTTCCTGTAACAATGCATGTAACTGCCTGGAATGTTATAATGGAAGATAACAAAATAACTAGACAATATCTTCAAATGAAGTCCATATATTAATACTGAGCTAATAGCTTCTGATGGACAGATAAAATAAATAGATATACTGCTGTCTCTCTTCTGTTTTTGTAGGTGTTCCCAAGGCACTTAGTGTGGTTATATTGAAAAAACCCAATGTGTTCCACTTGTTATATAAAGTAAATGGCTGACCATGCCAAAGAGTCACATGAGAGCTTCTCAAAAATCCTATGCACTTCTATTTACCTGTCAATAACCAGACCTAGCGGAAACAGTGCGATGCCTGCAGCTTTCCATGTGATGCCCCAGTGCTTATTTCCCGGTCCTTTATATTGGGCACACACATGGTCAACAGCAATTTAAATGATATCACTACTCATCCCCTTTAACAGCAAGCAGTGTCAATGCAGGTTTGAGGCACAAGGCAGAAACAGGGAGTGCAAACAGGGGGAGGAGGCCAACAGCTGTCAGTACACAGCGGGGCAGCACACCCAGACACCAGGAACTCGGGAAACTGACACAAATCTATAGGATGATTATTGCACACTAACAGACAAAATCATGATCCTTCCCAAAAAACTTCATAGAAATTTTGTCACTTCAGTGAGGCCACTCAAGACTATTAATAAACATTCTGCTTATCTTACCAGATGTTTTTAATAAATAAAATAACTGGAAACTGGTTATTAAATTATTGTCGTGCAAAATAAAATTATTGCTTCATCACCAAGAAACTAGATAATTTTACTGCTTATAACAAGCACATCACCAAAATATTTAAGCAGTGTAAATGCAGAAACATGATAGATGTTATTAAAAAAAATAAAATCTGTGAAACATATTGTTCACTTAGTGGGAGCTTCACTATTTTCATTTGGTTTCTAAAATACTTCTATAAAAAGAAATATAGTTCTACAATAGTTAATAGCAGTGTTCTCTGTTAAATAGGTACTATTATCAATCATACTTTACTACTGCCTTATCCAGAAAGACTGTCTGCACGAATAAGAAATATCTTTATGGAAACTGGCAATGCTTATTAGATCAGATTGACTGTGAACAGTGGGACAACAGATTAGACTGGACTGAAATAACAAATACATAGAGGACAGTAGCACAGTATATCTGGAGACATGAACATGTGCAAAATGGTGCTAAGTAGAAGGATGAAAGGATGGTTGAAGAAGAAAAAATTGGAGAAATCAGGCTCAAAAGAAAGTAAAAAGACTAGCAGGAGCCTTGATGGGAGTGGAGATGCTTTAAAGTGCTGTTGCATGTGACTTTTAAAAATAAATATTATTTTGCAAAGCAGAATGTGTTATATGCACCAAGGAGATGACCGTAAAATGAGATATGCAGCAAAAACACGGTAGCCCTCCAAGCATTGCTGAAAACAGAAAACCCTATGCATTTTACAGCCTCAACATGGTGAATATAAGTTTGGCAGAAATGCATAAACGGCATAATAAGCAATGCTACTCACTCTGGAGGCAAATGTTAACAAGCATGGTGGCTTGATGAGAATGCTGAATATTGAATGGAAATGTCAAAATAAAAAATTTGTAATTAAAAAGAAATTTGAGAAAGTAACATATATGCACCATGGCATCAGAAAATGACCATAAAATGCAAAAAGGTGATGGAGTGTTATGGAACAAACCTTGGAGAAATATCGCATCCTTGCTGCATAAAGGCACCCAGGGAAAACCAAAGGCTGTTAAATATTCCAAACTCATTTGGAGGGTCAGGAGGATTCTGAGGGTCACGTGGTTCTTCAGTGTTGTCTTCCAAGTGCCACTCATAAGGGCTGAATCTGCTGACTAGGAAAAGAACTACGCTGACGCCAATGTAAGCAAAGACTATACACATCCAAATTTCATAAGCCAAAGGATCCAGGAAAGAGAATACGCCCGGTTTAGATTTCTGAGGCTTCTTGATCATGATGGAGATACCCAGGCTCATAAAGGGTTTGGAAAAGTCTATGACTTCTTCTCGCACCAATGTTATGGTGAGGGGGGCAACAGCTATATCTGCTCTCTGAAAAGGGAAAAACAAACCCAAGTAAGTTACAAGTCAGACACAACAGCATCACAATCTAGAGTCTCAGACTAATGAATCAGATGATAAATTACAAGAGTGGAAATAAATTCTTTGCAGGCTATTTTGCAGTCACTGGAGTTAAGAACTACATGATATTAGCAGAAAATTATTAACAAGAAAAATTACAATCAAATCTGTTCAAGAGGTTCATGACAGCAGCAGATATTTCAATTAAGTTAAAACGGATGAATAAACACTGCACAAACTGGACAGGGAGATGGCAACCAACACAATGTCATTTCTAGTAATGGTCTGTAACCACCCATTTGTCTTGAAGACTTTGAACAAATTCTGTGTTTGCTATGTTCTAATTTTCTCTTTTTCATTCATTCAGCAAGTTCTCTTTCCTTAATAATTAGTCCAAGATCTTTAAAAGGAACTGATGAGAAGTAATCAGTCACTGAATTTCAGCTGCACTTGGGTGCTACTACTTGTACGCTCTTTAAAACTCCACTGCAGTAAGGGACAGAGGATAGTAAATACTGGAGGGATAGGAACCAGACAGACCCTTTCTGTGGTCAATGAAGAACAGTTAACACAGAAGAATGCAGTGTCATGTATGCCCTCCTGTCTTAGAGACCTTGGCTTTACAGGCCTGTAACAGACTCTGTTCTGGGGCTGTCACCCAGAAGCACAACTGCATCATTCATCATTCACCTGTGTGCTGGTGAACGAATGCCCTTCCCTTCAATCTATACATCCTTGCTGGATTCCGTGGGTAGGCAGGCATGTAAAAACAAATTACTTAGTTTTCTGATTAAAAATAAAATTCCAGAATAGATTTTCAACATATTTAACTGTACCTGTACTTCTATGCTACAAAGATTCAAGTCATGCTACTAAGATACTCTAGCCAAGAATGGAATGCTAAAAAAAGAGCCCTATCCATTTGAAGAGTGTTATGAGAGTCTACATACCTACATATGCTATTTTAAACACTCTAACTATTCATATTATCGATATTTTTAAAGAAGTCCTTTCACTGGTAATTAAGAATTTCAGAAAGAAAAATGATTCTTCGGGAAACCTTAACTTATCAGTACCTAAACCACTGTGCACCTTTTAAGTCAGATTTCTTCCCCACTAGTAACTAGGCATCTCTTTCTGGTGGAAAAATAAAGCCTGATTAAGTGGAAGATTGAATAAAAGTTAATGGGAAATGTTAACAAGATATGATTAAAATCTGTGCCATAAAATAATTAAATACACCTTTATGTAAATCTGATGGTGATGTACACGACTGTTATTAATATCTGATTTGCTCCTCCCAGCTATTGGTTTGGGTTTTACATTTGATAAGCAGAAATGGCAAAGGCTACTCATACAGCTGATCACAGCATCGTGGGCTTGGTGACTGCTGGTGCTTGGCAGCATCATGCAGCCATCCTGGAGCACTGCTCAGAGTCTGCAGACCAAGGCCAGTGACAGCTTTGTCAGATGAGGACTGGCCCTCCCCACAGCTGCTTCACTCTGCAGGGCACCCATATACACACACAACCTCGATGTTTGCTCCAGCCACCCAGTAATATCTCTCGACAGCTCATACCAGCATGTGCAGCTACAAGGTATGTGCACAAGTTCACTGCTTGGAATAATCTGATAAAACCATGCCTGTGTGCATGTAAGGAAGTCACTTGGAAATCATGGCCCTGGGTGCCCCCTCTGACAGCTCTGCTCAGCCCCTTTTGACAGTCATGTGTGGGACACTGCCTTTCCCCTTGAGTGGCCTTTTCCTCAAGGAGAAAGCCTCAGCTGATTTGTGGTCACTTACTGCAAAAATCTAGCTGAATGTAGCTTGAATTTTAAAATTGAAAATGCCCTTGGATGCCTGGATGTTTACTGGCTTTGCAGATGAATGTGTTCATCACCTAAGTAATGGACAGACTGGAGGGGAAGATATGGGTAGAGTGAGGTACCATCTTCAGAAGATGTTGGAACTTGTTCACTGAGGAATTCCCCCAAAACGTATGTTTCTCTTATTGATGCCTTAAGTTCTAGCTTTCATATTTTCAGATTACACTGCTTAGGTGTATAGATCTGAGCTTCATATTAAGTGTTAGTGAGCTCTCTTCCCAGAGTAGGTAGACAAAACAATTCCTTTTCCAGCTTGAGACCAAGGACAACTGTTACAAGTTTCAGGCCCAAAAGCATAAGCAGTAGACTGAAGAGAGAAAACAAGAAGGATGGGACTTCACAGTCCAAAGCTGTAATTGGACAATTAACCTCAATATGCAAATGGACTAAAACTTTTAAAGGTGTGAAACTTCGTGACTGGTTAGGCATTTTTGTGACCATTTTGGGTCCATCTTGGGTGTAGCCCTGGCCAGGCTCTTATACTGCCCAAGGGGTATATTTTAAGGCCTTTTAATATATACTTTAATATATAATATAATATATAATATAATATATATAATATATACTTTATCCTTCAACTGTCTAGTCTCTGTTCTAGGTCAGCCTTCTCAAGGCATCATTATTAGCTGCTGCTTGTTGAGTTAAACACTATATATCTGCAGTCAGGGTGAGATTCACAAGGAACATCAGTTTAATCAGAATCCACAGCCAGCTGGAAGACCTTAGTCTTAGTTCTGACCATGCCACTGTACTTCTTGCTGAACTAATGAGGTACTTACAAATTAATTGTTATTAGAGCAAGCTTAATGGATCAGGACCCCTGCGGAGACTTAGCAATGGCTCCATGTGAAACTTGGGTAGAATGCAGGTTCCCACCAGCCACTTCTGCACATGGGCTGCCAGCCTTGGAACATCCCATGCTTTTCAGCGGTAAAAGCATGTTGTTTCTGGAGCATTTTCATGGACTTGGAGAACTTTAATTCTCCCAAAGTAATATTTTAATTGTTAAAGTAGACATGGTGGAACTGTTTCTAAAGTGCTGATGCAGCATGCAATAAGGTCCGTATCTCCTTCAAGCCCAGATGAGTTCATGCAGGATGTTCCTGTGGGGGGATGAATCTGATGCTGAAGCACAGACAAATCACTTGTTAAAGCCCTGACTGTTACCCATGTTCATATCATACAATACAGTTTTCTTTGTAAATAATTTCAAACTGCATTTTAATATTAAATGGGATACAAATACTAATTTTCTCATACATTTCAGTCTTCCTGCTTTCCAACCATCTCTACCAAAGGCATTCACTGTATTGGAAACACCAAAAACCACCTTCATCCCTTAGTGAACATGGCAGGAAATGGTTTCTGTGAAGTGAACAAGCATGTGTTCACACACAGGGTCTTGGGAAACCAGGGCACTGAGAGTGGACCAGCTACAATCTAACACCCAAGTCTGGTTGGTCACTACTTCCCTGAATATTAGCTGCACTAGGGAGGTTAAAAACAGTTCTCTCTTTGCTTATTTATTTAGAGATACAGTATTAGAAATGGAGAGCTCTAAGCACCCTAAAGGATCATTAATAACTGCAGCACTGTTGAGAAATTCCCTCCCTGTTATGGCTGCAGATAAGCAGAACCCATACAAATTGAGCTCGATTAAAAAGAACACAACCACAAATATGCCCTTCTTCGTACAGAACTGGAGAGGGGTTTAAGAACCTCAACAACTGAGCTTGCTAATCACTCATGACTAATGGTGTTTCAAACATCATCTTCACTGCATTTGAGCTGGGTGAGAAATGTCATGGATTCCTCTGAGGCTTGATCTGTCTTTGCCTACTAGTGTGGGAGGGATGGATTTAGAGAGGACAGGCAGCACAGAGGCTCTGCCCACTCTGCTCTAAGATGACACCAGGGAGCTGCAAACCTTGACTATTACGGGGAGGGATAAAAAAAATAGCAAATGGAAATATCCTTCTACATGAAGAATGAAAAATGATAAGATGTTCCACCTCTGTAATCCAAAAGGAGGAACAAGATTCTTCTGCTTACAGACCTACTGATGACTGTACCAAATTCAAAGCTGTGCACTAGAGACAGTGAGAGATTTGGGCTATGCTGCTGCCTGCACATGCTTTGGGTCACTCCTGCTCGCAGAAATAAATACCTCCTTTGCTCGAGGGTTGGTTTTCAAGAAGTGGGTCAGGACTGCAGACATTTGTGTGATGGGACACCAGGTAGCACCCCAGCTCTGTGCAGACTGAAGCAGAGGGACACTGATTGACTTCCATTGGCAGCCAAACCTCTGGGCACCCCAGAAGTCCTGGATGCAGGTACACAGGGACGCCAGAAGAGACAGCACTGCAATGGTGACTGTCCCTGAGCATGTTTTAACATTTCTCAGTGCAGTCTGAGGTTTCGAGGTACCAGAAAAGAGTGTCAGATAGAGCAACACATCACCTGTGGTATCAGCTGGTAACAGCTACCTTTGTAAAGGCAGTCCAATATCCCCAAGGATATTCAGGTTGTATTGAAAGGCCAGGTCATGGGGGCAATGTGGTTTTAACACATTAGCTCACACTTATTTAAAGCCAACAGGTCATATCTGACTAGCAACGTGCTGCATTGAAGTCTTAATGTGCCCTAGCTGAGCACTGTAAAAAGATATTAAGGTGTTAAAATGGCAGTTGGCCCTGTCTGCTACAGTTTGTCAAAGTTAAATCCATTTGTGATTTCTGTGGATGCCCACAGCTCATTCTGACACACTCCTGCTATTCACAGATGGAGACATAAAGAGTACATCTGCTTTTGGGGCTGTGGACATACGTGTGCTTCCTCTGCCTGTGCCTGGACTCAGGTCAGCCAAAGCCCAGGACCATAGCAGTGTGGCTCTGTGCCAGGGCTGTGAACCTGTTCCTCACCATAGCTCAGCCTGGTCAGGGACCCCACATCTGTCCATGTGTACAGGATGAGGGTCTGTCTGAGCTGCAGTACAGGCCTTTGGGGACCTGTACCTGGGCATCCCTGCTGCAGAAACCAGGAGTCAGGAGCAAAGGACGAGCTTCTCCCACTCATGGCACAGTCAGGCTCTGCCACAGACTAAGAGCATGTGGGAGGTTTTAAGGAAAAGTAGGAATAGAATTAGTCTGCCTCTCTGCTATGATTCAAAGGCTTTATGTGCCATCTTTAGTATTTCTACATGCTGCTGGTAGAGCCAGAGAGGCCAGCACCACACGAGGCTGGTTAGTCTGCTAAAGGCAGGGAGATGTGTCGGCAGTCCCACTCTGACAGACTGCGGAGGCTGCTGTGTTCTGGGGACTGCCTGTCCTTTACATCCCTGCTTCATTCCTTTGTGCTATTTTACATATTGAGAGGCTTGTTTTAACCTGAGCAGACTTTTAAAGGCTGTAAGGTCTAGCTGCTCTTTTCATTCCCAAAGCATTTGTAGTTACAATTAAGATCTGTGTTAAAACTACTGTCAATTAGCCTCAGTGCTGTGAAAAGCATCAGACCCAGGGAGGGATGGCTTCCCCTGGCTGAACAGGGAAGGAAGAACAGCAGCCTGCTTTAAAAAGGGAAGAAGAAATAAAAGCCTACAGAAAGAGGCTGACCCCACAGAAGAGAAAAGACAACTGTCTAGTGCTTAGCAGCTGGTGGGTACAAAGCCCCGAGCACAGGGGCCGAGGGAGGTGCTGCTGCTCCTCAGCCCCAGCCAAGGGCACGTCCTCAGCCCATGGGTCACTGCAGGACAGCACTTGCCTGACTGGATTGCTCTGCTGCTTAGATTTAAATAGTGATTCAGTCTCCTGGACTGAGAATGATTTAGCTACTTCCCTTCTCAAATGTCCAACAAAAATGCTTTACTTATTTTCTATTTTTATTCTGTTGAAAGTTTCCAATATGGTTTGGAAATTTCTCTTAGTTTAAAAAAATAACTGCTTGAAGGGGTATATGGTAGGATGAGGATGGTAGGTTATTTTGACACTATCAGAGTGAAAGAACAAAATTAAGTTTTTTTTCAGCCTGAACTGACACTTTTTGATTTATGAAAAACCAAATACTTTTCTTTTTATGCCCAATTTCATTATTAATTAGTATTATAATTATCATTATTACTACTACTACTACTATTACCATCACTAACATTTAAAAATTGCTAGCAAACCACAAAGCTCTGTTATTTCCTCTCCATCAAGACTGCTGGGTTCTCCTGCCTGAAGCAAAGGAGTTTGGGAATATCTGCTCAGGCAGAATTCCCTGCCTCTGGGACTGCCATCCCTCTGCAACCAGGTGCATTGGTATAGCCCCTGGCAAAGCCAAAGGAAAGGCCCAAGGGGGACAGCTGAGATTGTCCTTGACTTCAGGGACCTTACAGTACAGCAGACTTTTATGCCCTCCAACCAGACCTGATGTGATATGAGACAGGGGAGGCAGAATTTTTAATGGGAAACATTTTAGTGTGTAAATGGCAATGTGTAACTCCTGGGACTGCTCCAGCTGGCCTAGCTAATGCTGACCTCCAGTGAATCTTACACTCCAGACCTGCAGCACAGTGACACATCACCCCTGTTGCTTTGGGTACAGCTCAGTGCACAGAGCCCCCTCCCCTCCAATGCAGTGGTCTGGAGGCTGCCTTTTCTCCCCGGACTTTGTGCTGCATTCCATAGGAAGCAAGAGCAATAGCAACAATGAACTGGCACAACCCAAACATTAAATACAGTTAATTAGGGTTTTAACATTAAAATGACAAGCCATTAATTTTCTATGACTGTCCTAAGAGCAATTTTAGAAGAGCTGCATGCATGGGGCTATGCAAAAAAGGGCTCAGTATTCAAAAAGCCAGCTGAAATGCCCCAGCAGTGCCAGGTGGTGGCAAGGAGGCTGCTGGGTCAGGAATATGCTGTATTTGACAAATGACTAGTCACTGGTTATCACTTGAGACAAATGCAATCTAGAGTATTGTGTTTCTGCCACAGCTCAGCTCAGCTGCTGGATAACTGGTACAAAACCAATCAGGACCCTTTTATCCTACTAAGTCTATCTTCCACAGATGCTAACAAAGGTACTTAAAATCTAATCTGTCTCTTGTCTTCCCAAAATGGAATCCAGAGGAGCCAAATTTGAGTCATTTTGCTGACAAGATTCACAGGGGCATTACGGTAACATAGTTTTAGTTCCCTAATAGAGTTTTAAGCCCGTGAGAGATATAAGAAAGTCAGCACGTAAATGAGGCGCTTGCTCCAAATAATTAGCACTTCTATTAGTGCTCCAAATAAATAGCACTTTCTCATCTTCCAAGGGCTTAGTGCACATTCTTATCAGTGTGGTACACAGCCCCCTCTCAACGGATGGAGAAAGAGGCCAAGGGTATTTCACGATGTTTGCAAATAGAGCTGGGAAAAGGTCGGGAGGGCTGGTGGGGTTTGTACTCAGAGTTCAGGGGCTATTTTCCCTGCTTACAGAAAGCCAGGTGGATTTCCATGCAGCTTGCAAGCTCAGTTCAGCTGGGTAGTTTGAGGAGCTGGCTCAGCAGTGCGGGGCTGGAAGCATTAACCTGGGTCTGCACTCAATCCTCACGGGACACATCTGACCTTTGAATAATTGAGCATTGCAGTGGGGAGGCTTCAGGAACAGAGCTCACAGCATGAGTACAGGAACTGTTGGGGGTCAGGGAGGGAAACATTCCTCAATTTTTCATTAGCAAGAAAACATAGATGAAAACTGCTCAGAATACAAAGGAACTGACCTTTTTGCAGGGGAAAATGAAAATAGTGGGGTGGTTTTGGGTTTGTCTTAAGGAATGGTCTGTGGTGCCTGTAGGGCTGGCTTTGCTGGTGTGGAAAGGTCACAAGTGTGATTGATGCTAAGGAGGCAAAGCTCTCTGAGTTACGCTGATCCCAAGAGGCTGTGGAAAAGGCAACTGCAGCCCACCTGCTTATCACACATTGGTTTGGGTTGGAAAGGACCTTTAAAGATCATCTAGTTCAAACTCCCTGCAGTAAGTAGGGACATTTTCCACTAGATCAGAGTGTTTAGAGCCCTGGCCAGCTTCACCTTCAATGTATCCAGGGATGGAAACACTGCCTCTCTGGGAAACCTGGCCCATGTCCTCAGCACCCTCACAATGAAGAATTTCTTCCTAATATCTAATCTGAATCTACCTTCATTCAGTTTAAAGCCATTTCCCCTTGTCTTATCACTACATGACCCTCTCTCTCCACCTATCTTGTAGCCCCTTTAGGTGTTGGAAGGTGCTCTAAGGTCTCTTTGGAACCTTCATTTCACCAGGCTGAAGAGTCTCAAGTCTCTCAGCCTTTCCTCACAGGACAGGTGCTTTGCACTTTTGAGGCTCTTTATGCAGGTGGATGTGGTATGGCACAGCAGCTGCACAGACTAATCTTACTGGGCTCAAGACACAAAAACCATAGCCCACATCACACCTTTCCTCCCCTAGTGTAGACAGTCCCTATGCTCTGACTGCTACCAGCAATTTCAGGTTCTCTTTTGCCATGCTTTTTCCACGTGGTATGGTTATTTTTTAAGTGAATGAACAAGTTACATTGCTTGTCTCTTTCAAGTACATCAGAAGGACCCAATTATAGCTGATACTCTTGGCAGTTCTTGAACCATACACAGAGCAACTGAGGGTACAGGCTTCCAGTGCAGTGTAATTTGCTTGGAACTAAACTAAACCTTTGCTTCAGAGGTTCTCAGTGGACTTGTGTTCTCTAAGAGAGCGAACATCAGTTTCCCAAATTGCACAACTGAGGCATAGGGAGTTCAGAAGATTTGCATAATGTCAAACCTCAGAGCAACAGGGAAGCAAAGAAGTAATCCAAGGGTCCAGAACCGTGTTTAGTCTGTAATCAGTAGATATCCCTCCCTGCCATAATACAATACAACAAAAATATTGTTATTTCTATAAAACATTTTCAAGTTGAACAGACTACCAATTACACAATAAGGCACGAGGACTGACTGCTCCAGAGTAAGAAAACTTGTGAAAATCTAGCAATTACTTAAAAAAGACTGATTCATTTGAAAAGAATTATCTCACCAAACATTTTGCAAGAATGATGATGCATTATCCCAAGGAAATTTTGAGGTGACTTTTAGAAATTACACTCAGCCACAGAACAAAAGGAGGCAATTGAAATATGCGCTTCTGCTCAGATATTTTTAATAAAGGAAAGCTTGTTAAAAATAAACTGCAAAAAAGATTTGGGCGGAATCACAAATCATCTCATTAGCATTTGAGGAAAAAAAAGGATGAAATATCAGCTTGAGAAGTCTTTTCTGCAAAGCCAATTTTCTCCCCCTTCCATCTGGTTTATCTGTATTCCAAAATTCTCATTTTCAAAGAAGTTTCTAAAATGGCAGTTCCGGACTGTTTTTGTTCTTACTAAACAAAGTGATGTACACCCAATATAGAAATATAAAAGAGGAATGCAGTGAATTAGCTTTTATTTTTTAATTTTTTTTTATTTTTTATTTTTTTGTCTGACAGTTGATTTTTGAAGCCAAACCCAGTGTTTAAAGAGAAAAAAACCATATGGGTGATTTCACACCTGCATTGCTTCTTACCCTCAAAAGCAACCATGGAGTTAAATAGGTCTGGTCAAACACAAACCAAGATCAGTGACCCAGCAAGGCTCAGCATTCCAGATCAGACCTTTAATGAGAGGGACACCCCCCAGCACTTAGGAAAAAAGGAGATCTGGCAAATGAAGAAGAAGCACATGAAGAGCAAACTGAAAATTCTGCTGTAAACAAGAATTTGAAATTTGCCCAATGCTACTTCTCAACATTTTGTGGACTCTGATTTGGAGAACAGCAGTAAAAAAAGTGACAGTTTCCTGCAATGAAACAATTAGAAAAGTAGACTATAAAAAGGGCAATACAAAGAAATATTTAGATTTTTAAAGGCAGTATTCAAGTAGATGATTTTATTTTGAAGTTAATTAACTTAGAGCATAAATTTTTATAAAGAACATTAAAATGAAGGTTAAGAGAAACTTACCCCATAGACCAGTTCACCCACCATGCCATTCCATATCTTAGTCTCAGGGTCCCTAGCTCCATATTTCCCATCTCCAACAATTGACAGTTTGTATTTTATTCCAACATGTTTTGCTATTTCAGAAGCTAAGTCTACACAATATCCTTCATATCTCTCATTCCCTTCTAGTTGTTCATGGTTTTTCTTATACATTACATATGGTGATTCCTTTGAAACAAAAGTAAAGATCAAAAATCTATGAATGTAAAATACAGCTGTAAACCACACAAAATGAGAGTTCTTATTATCCTTTATATTATTGGCAATTATTTACAATATTTCCTGCTTTGGTACAGAAATTAGAAACACAGATTTCTGCAGTATAAAATTCCTTGGCTGATCTTACATCCACACATCCTATTGACTATTCCTAGTAAGGAGCCATTGACGACAACAGAACTTTGTTAAAAAGTTACACTTCTCTTTGCAGAATTAGGCCTGATTAGACAGTCAAGTAGCATCATTGTAGCAAAAATTCAAGTTTTAGCATTTAAAGACTGACATATCCTACACCTGTTCCATCACCACAATTTCCTAAGGCCCCAGTGGCCAAGAATGGCGCTCTGATGGAGATATTTTCAAAGGAGCCGAAGGGAAGCTAGGTTGAAATTCTCAGCAGCATTTTTTGTCACTGAATTCCCTTAGCCTTCTTGGAATATTCTAGTTGAAATGCAGATTATATCTAAATCCATAGAAGTATGAAATACAATGCTTCAGGAAACAGCATAAAATTGACTCATGCTTAGTAGAATTGTAAAAGTCGCAAAAGTCACAACAAATGCTGTACAGAGCAGGTCTGTAGAGGCGCTGGGACTGACACAGGTGCTGCTGCTTGTGACACACAGGAAGAGCTTTGCTCCTTTGGAATTGCACAGGTAAAAGCTGCTTTTCAGCCAGTGCTAGAGCAGTTCCAGTTCTCTACAGGCTTCATTGTGCCACCCTTACTCAGTCCACAGGGGTTGAGTTTACAGGAGCTGTACCTGAGTGAGGGGTGCAAGATTTGACTCTACAACAGAAAGGCCAATCTCTGTGCCCATTTACACACATGCATAATAACTTCACTTATATGAGGCACTTAATCGAATTCAAGTGTCTGGGAAGCAGCAAAGCACAATGGTGACCTCAGTGAGTTCCTCCTGTGAGCAGACATATATAAGTTAGCAGGGTCAAGCCCTCAGAGCATCTCTGGAAGATATTGAACTTTCCAGTCACTTGAATTCACACAAGTATTCAACAGTATTCAGCATCTGCCTCCTGACAAAGCATCTAACACACCTCAGGAGTCACATGCTTTGTTTCCTAAACACAAACATACTAAGAACGTAAAACTTACCAAGATGGTAGTTACTACTATAGTTCTGTTCTCCACAGATGAAGTGTCATTAGAGGGCAGCTGATCTAATGCTGGTACATATCTTTCATATTCATTCCAATAACCAGCCTATAAAAATGGAGATTGTTACCTCATTACATCCCTTTACAAGGACTTGTACCTGAACTTGTAAGAGCAACTGTCAAAACATATGGTTTTGTAATATTTCTCACTCACTGTTTCTGTCATTAAGGGACTACGTTAGCTTTACATCCATTTCCTTAAAGAAAAAATGTTCTCAAGCCCAAGAGCAAATCAGTACAAGCCAAATCTAAGTGAAAATACATATTCAATTCTCCCTATGTCAATTCACATTAGTATGGTGCCTGTGGAATAAATTCCCATATATCCACAGCATAAGAACATACCACAGACAAGAAAATAAACTGCAGAGCATTCTGAGTAAAATTCTCTGATTTTGTGATTTTTATCCAATACAGCCCCAGCAGACCTGAGCTGGCTTTAGAGCAGATGCATAGACATTAGCAATGCAGGCACAGCTGCATTATCTCGAGTATGGAACACAAAACCTTCTGTGAACATGAGGTGACTTTATCAGCTGGCTGGTGCTGACCTTTGGCTGCATCACTAGGCTATCACAAAAGCTTTTGTATTTTTGCACAACAGAGAAGGAACACTGATCTCTGCATTGTACACCTCCCTGAGACACTGGCCCATGTTTAGAGGCATTTAGTTATCAAATGTGCAGAAATGTTTAAGGAGTCTCTGTGGTGATAAAGCAGGTTAAGAACCCATCTCCAGGTGAAATCAGGGGATTTAAGATACTCACCTACACACATTCTTCTCAGTACTTTTGTAACCCTGTCTACCTAATTATTTTTGAACATCTGCATTAAACTTCTTTTATAACACCAATCTAGGAAACTATTCCACTTATGATCTATATTTTATTTAGGAGACAAGAGAATTAATATGAAATTTTAATTAAACCCAAGCTTATTTTCTTTTAATTTTAGAAGGTTTCACTGGTTCCAGCTTCACTATGGCTCCAAAGCCGTATATGGAGATGGACGGAAAGATGGAGAGGAATTTAGAAAATAGGACTAAGCACAGGACTATGACAGCAGGTATCACACTTGGCAGTGAAAAAGCTCCAGAAGGGTTTTATGGGAAAACGTTGTGTTTGAAGCTGACATGGAAACCAGTGAAGATGTTAAGCAGGGTGAGTGGTTTAGTCCAGAAACTGAATATAACAAGGTTCCTGGGATAGGGAAGACAGCATGAAGGGGGCACTCCTCAGGACCCTGCTATTATATTGCATCTCTGGTATTTTTCAATTTAATTGGTTTGATGGAATAAATATTTGTGAAGGTGTGAAATCTGGATCCATGTCTTGAAACTCACCTTCCGTGATCCAGCAGCTTTCATTTCATACACATCAATTGTGTAATTTGTTCTCCGCCCATAGGTGTCGAACTGGATGTTCCCTGTCATTCCTTGAACTTGCACCTTGAGGGAATAAGCAGAAAAATATTTTAATAAAAGATTCACTTTCTTTTTTATCTATGTAAGAGACTTTCACTGCTTCTGACACAGCTAGTTGTACTGTTCAAAACAACCCCAGTGCCCATTCTCTGAGCTCCAGCTGTACGTATTTGTTAGCACTCGGCTGATGACTTGCTGACAGAGTGAGCTGTATTTAAGCGAAATTAGCCCTGCATATATGTTAACTGTAAGAAAGACTGATTCTGCCATGCTTGGTTCATGCTGGGTTCACTGGCACAGAATGGAGCATCAGCGAGGAACAAGCAACAATTAGTGCAGTTAAACCCCTCACAACATGGCACAGAGTGATCTGCAGTACAGACCAGAATGGCGTATCATTGCTCACTCTGGGAAGTACTTTATTTTAAGATCAGTCCTAGTGTAGGAGAAAGGAACGAATGTCTTCTCTGAATGAGCAGACAATTGCCTCTACTGGTTATGGAGTTTTGGTCTCAGTCAGGATGGATGGGCGTACAGACAGTAAATCATTACCATTACCTACTCACATGAATCATCTGAAAGGGAAGTATAAAGCACTTTGTCTCAAAAAAAGCGCCTTTCTTATTTCCCTGTATGAAAGGATGAGGTATTTTCATTTATCACTTATCAACTCTGACAAGCTGTCATCTCAGGCAGAAAAGTAACAGTTGCAAACTTCAGTAGGGGCAAATTCGCTTTAATATTTAGCAAAAACTGCAGAAGTTACAGGAAGAGGTTATGCTAGACTAGTCAAAGGCAAACTGTTCAGGGGTGGTGACTGATCTGCTGTTCACTGTTTAGAGATGAGGTGTGAGGCTATATAAAACAAAAATTACATGGACTTCAAATTATCCTCAAATTCATTCAAATTTGAATATCCTCAAATTATTATTATTCACACTGACATATAGGGAATTCCCTTTTATTGGTAAGTGGATTCAAACCTTCTTTAAAATTGTTTTTATGATTATGGGGGCTGGAAAAAATCTGAGGTTTTCCTATCTCCAGAAAGCAAGAGAGATGAATTGCACTTTGAAAACCATATTGACCCCAAGAGGTCTTATCAACTGTGGACTGAGCAAATGTATTTGTAGGGTAGTTGACACATAAGTTGCAACCAGATGTGAGTTGCTGAGCCCGCCTTTGGCATTTACTGGAAGCTGTCTGGCTACTTTAGCACAGCAGTAACTGGGTGTCTCACAGAGCTTGTTACACTGGCTCCATCCTGATGCCCATTGAGACATAAGCTTCATGCACTGGACATCACTTTGTGCACCTTTTGGCTTCCAATTTAATTTGTTTCTATCTTTGGTGGGGAAACTCAGCACTTTGTAAAGGTGTCTGAGTGCCTGGTTGCACTGAGGCAGGAAGGCTTGCCAGGACTCAAACACTTTTGGTGGCAGCGTGTGGAGGCAATCGCAGAGTCATTGTTTATGTGTCCAAACATGTTCAGGTAAACTGTCTGCCACTGACTTGATGTATTAGAACCAGCTTCAGAAACAAAATTTTCAAGGCTGTTGGAAAGAAGTTTCAAATAATGCCTAGCTATCACTATAGTGAGGCAATGGACCTTCTGCTGGCACAGGACAGATATTTCAAGGATACCTTGGAAAAAGCATTCTTATCTGAGTTGATGCTACAGAGTGGAGAGGAAAAATTATTATTAAATCGATAGTGTTTTTTTCCTGAGCAAAGATTCAAGATCATGTCTGAATAGAAGAAGAGAAGGTGATTGACAGGATGGGTAGTGGAAGGCTATGTGGTATGATCTTGGGTAGCTGTCATTGGAGGTGTATATAAACTTTACCCACATTACTCTGAATACCTAAAAAAAGTTCAAGACAATCAGCTAGAAGTCAAGCTACTGTATTTTTTTGCCAATCATGCCTTTTTATATCTTTCTAATATGTTTTTAAAATAAATTCTCCTAAATAAGGGAGTATACTACTGCAGTGTTGATTTTCTCTATTGACATGAATACCTTGTTTATGAGTACAGTACAAATTCTTTAACTATCGTGAAGACTGAATTTAGTTATTTCTCTTCAAAAGTGTGTAATGCTACACTAATGAATGTGCAGTTAAGGCATATGTTAGGATGTAAAAAATGGCATAAAAAAAAAAATTAAAAAAGAGTTCTCGCTCTTTTCATGTGAGACTAAACCATCTCAGTTTTAAGAGTGACATAATCTGATTATAACCATCCACAACTCATTGTAATATTCTGATATAATCCTTCCATTTTGGTAGCTGAGAAAAAGCACTAATTAAGTTAAGTATATGAAGACTGACCTAGGATTTGTTTACACCTAATAAACACTTAATTCTGATCTCACTCCAGTTCTATGTCTGCATTAATATAATCAATGGTAACAGGTTTGAGAGTTATTTGTGCCAGATTGAAAGAAGCAATCTTGTCTTTTGTATCTACAAAAACATTATCCAGTTTTTCCTGCTGTCACTTGCTTTAACACAAATAGCAGACTTAAAAGAGTTAAGAATCAATAAAATTAGAGACACAAGTGAGGTAGGATCCCATGCAATAACTAGTGTTAGGGATAAAAATTTGGCTATGCAGAAGGTAATCTGGCTGAGGGCAAAGTTATGCCACGAATTAGAACTGGTTGGAGGCTAAACTGTTCCTAGGTTCAGGCTGGTGCTGAGATCTATGAGTACTGCTATGACAAACAACAATTTCCCCAATGTTTTAAACCAAGCTGAGTTGACTTTTTACTGGCAAATTATCAAAACTGCTCCTATGCATTTATTAGATGTTCATAAATACATCTATCCCTGCAATAATTACAACACATGTGCCAAAGACCCAATCTAGTTCTGTTACTCAGATTTGCAGGATCAGCCTGACATTAGAAAACCCCAATACATGTTTGACTGCAAAATGGCTCATGCTCACTCTCCTGGGAAGCTGGGGTGTTACAGGGGATCTGGGATTGTAGGTGCTCTCATGAGTACAATCAGGAAGCCACTGAATCAGTGTCAAAAGGACTTTGGCCAAAGTTTTGAGAGCTAGTATGTTACATCTTGTCCTCTACTGAATATATTTTATCCATCCTTTGAAATTCATCATTAATTTTGTTTTTACTTTGTTTCCCCTGAGGAGCTTCAGCTGCTTGTGTGAGTACAGAAGCAGGACATAAGCACTACAAAATTACTGCTGTTTCTCTTTAGCTGTTATCTTTGCCCTTACCATTTTAAGTGCTCTTTCTATATCAATTCCTTGGCTCCATGGCACTGCAGGGTTAGCCAGGCAGTCTCCAGCACTGCCTCTCCTGGAGACATCAACACGCTGCCTTCGGAGGTACCGGAAAGCCTCTGCTATGACCAGGACTGCATCATGGGTCAGTGCAGACGTGTACTGCAATTGATACAAAGTAAATATGGTGACAAACTGCAGTTTTAAATTTGCCTCAGGTTATCACACCAAGTTCTCCTCTTTGTTAGAACAGAAGAATTGTGCTTGCAGACCCCTTTGCTTGCTCTCTGTCTTTCAGCTGGTGCTTTGTAACAATTCCATCTATTTCAATTAGCAAATTAAAAATATTTTCATTCTATATAGCATATATCAGCAAAAAAACAATACCAGTTCACAGTTGCATAAAATTTCAATTTAATTGGAAACTTGCTCATCTAGATGAGCTTACTATAAAAGTCTGCAATTCCATGCTGGACCATATTGATATCAAAGGGAAGCTTATATTTGAGTTTTTGCTTTAGGTTTTTTTGTTGTTGTTTTTAATAAGATTGCCAAGAGAGCTTTGACTTGAAGTTAACATAAATCATTTCTGTTTGGATCACAATCCTGATTAGTTGGATCACAATCCTGATTAGGTAGCAACTGTAGCAAGGAATAAAAGAGCTATACAAGCAAATAATCACAAGATACATTTTCAGCATTACATCACCTTGCTAATTCCCTATCTGCCTTCCCTTACTCCATTATAAATCTGCAGAGGATGGTAAGCTCCATGTAGCTCCCTATCTGCCTTCCCTTACTCCATTATAAATCTGCAGAGGATGGTAAGCTCCATGTAGCAGCAGCTGTTGAACAAAACCCCCAGAAAACTTAACTTATGCATTCCTGTTGCTGTCAACTTAATTCACTGCTCGTCGCATGTTATCTGGTGACACCCCCCCTCAATGCTATAAATGTAGAATCACCTAGCAAATGGCATCAAAGAGGGATTTTTCTATACTTTTTTCCACATGTATCTGTTTTCTGAAAGTTCTTCCCTCCTTGAGTGGCCTGGGCTTTGTATATGACATCCCTGGGTTCCACTGGCATTACAGCCCACCTGTAATTTCAGGGTCTGTGTAAAGGAGACCCTCTCAGCATGGACCTACTGGGAGAAATTGAACATGCTCAGTCTGTAAGAGCAGATTTCAAGTCCCTTGTAAGTGATCCTCAATAACTCCACATAATTTTAAAGAAAACAAAGGAAGAAATGAAGAATGGAATGTATACCTGGCCCCTCTTTGGCTGTCTATGTTCCCATAGAGATCATGCCTCCTGAGGAAGCTCATGCTGGAATTCAGGCCACAAGATCCGCTGCCCATGTGTGAGTTACAAAGGCAGAAATCCAAGTTTCAGGTGCTTGTTCAGCTACTCTCTTTGTAGATAAGATTTATTATATTCAGAAATTAATTCTATCCTGTAGGGCAGGATAGCACAATTGGAGGCTCTGCATTTCTTAAAACTGAGTATTTTACTGCAATTTCTTCAGTTTGCTGTCAAGCCATAGGAACTCTGCACAGAACAAGGTGTGTCTGCATGTGCAGATCAAGAGAATTGCGTCTGATAAAAAAGAGTGCAAAGGCAGGGCTGTGAAGAAGGTTATAGAGCGGACATCTCACTGAGCTTTAAATGATAGCAGCTTATAAACTTACTGGGAGTGGGTGGTGGTTCCTGTTCTGAATGTACAGCACTCTTCTGATCTTGTCCACCTTTACCTCTCCCTGTGATGCTTTGCAATAATCACTCTCTCCTCTTTTAGAAAGTTAAAGGTTATACATCACAATCCACACAGTAATACAGAACTGGACAGTAGTTTTAAGGTATTTGTTCCTGTATTAAAAAAACTCCTGTAATAGCTGTCCAATCTAGCACTACATAAAACTGACACATTGATAGTTTTTTCAGCAGACTGCGTCAATTGTCAGTAACCTTAATGCAGTCCCTTCCAAGTCATGCCAAGAGAGCTATCTAATTTTCTACTTTATTTGAATTCTACTTATAAATGCATGAGCATGCAAAGAGAAAAAAGAGAGAAAGAAGGGAAAGGCTGATAAAATACAGAATAAATTAAACATCAGGACTTTAATCTCTAGGCAATTTTATTTCCTAATCAAAAATATTGTACATCAATTTTTAAGTATGCTTTTTGTCTGATTGACAAATACCGTGCACATTTCTATAATGAGATGTACATTTGTGGAAAGGTAATGTAATCTTTGTGTTTCTACCATATACTTAAGATTCTTTTTAAGGAGGGAGAATAATTTTTTCCTCAAGGTAAATTGCTTTCAAGTGGAATAATATCATCTCAGGTTAACTTTGTATATTTCAGAGCTTTTAAAATTAGTATGATACTTATCTTCACTTCTGCATCTCTGCTAGAAAGCTTTAGAAAGCAGGACTAAGTCCTAATCCAGGCAACAATACACTAATCAGGTTTTTGTGGGCCTCTGTTTGCCTTTCTCTGCTTCCTCTGAAATGCCAGCAAGGCTGTGGGATGGCATGGGATTAAGGAAATTTTCCTCCCTCACAGAAATGACATGATCCCAGGGATGGAAAAGTATCTCTCCAAATGGCACCAGTCATTTGTGAATGGCACTACTAGGAAGAGCAGACCCTTGTAAGTGGCTTCTATTCTGTCTGTAGGCCAACGCAGTGCTACTGCCTACCCCGGTGCCCCCCATGAATGGAACCGGACTAGATTTTTCCTTCCTATCTAGTATTTTAATGCTTTCCTGAATTTTGTCTTACTCATATCAAGACATTATTCCAGTTTATCCAACTAATTTTGAATTCCAAATTTGTTCCATCAATTTCACAGAATTCACAGAATGACTAGGTTGGAAGAGATCTTCAAGATTATCAAGACAAACCCATGCCCTAACACCTCAACTAGATCATGGCACCAAGTGCCACATCCAGTCTTTCTTTAAACACATCCAGGGATCGTGACTCCACCACTTCCCCAGGCAGATCATTCCATTAGTTTATCACTCTTTCTGTAAATAATATCCAACCTACATTTCTCCTGTCACAGCTTGAGACTGTCCTCTCGTTCTTTCAGTTGCTGCCTGATGAAAAAGATCAAGCCCCGCCTGGCTACAACCTTCTTTCAGAGAGTTGTAGAGAGTTATAAGGTCACCTCTGAGACTCCTTTGCTCCAGGCTAAACAACCCCAGCTCCCTTTTGCATGTGTCCTTCCCAAATCAAACATGAAAAACATGAATTGTCTCATCAGGGCAGTAGTTTTTAGGTTTCATTGCCCTGAGAAACCAGTCTGTATATTACCATACCCAGATTTCATTCAACTATGGATAGCAGTGAAAAAGAACAGATCTTACCAAAAGAGGAACGTAATAGGAATATTACTAATATGCAGTAGTCCTAGAAGATTTTATGACTTCTGTGCCTGGACAGAGATTCTCTGATGCACTCCTTCACTGGACAGTGAATAGCATCTCCCTCTATGATAGAGATGCTGAGGCAGAAAAATATCTGGGTGAGATAGTAACAGGTTGCAAGTTTCCTAATAACAGGAGCATTCACTTCATTTAATTTGTGACAGTTTTGGTGAACCTGGGACTTCTATCCAAAAAAATTTTGAAAAATTTTATTGGTTTCAATTATAATAGCCAGACAGTTTAAATAAAGGACAATGGTGCAGAACAGAGGGTTAGATTATGAGGGTAACTGCCAGCAGTAACTGGGAAGTGGCAGTGGCTCCTTAGAGAATCCAGAGCTACTTCATTTTGCATGTGAAATTCTCTATTACCATTAAAATGAACTAGTAATCCACATTTTGCATCTAAAACCTAACCTAACTAGTCCCCACATCCAGCCCTTGCCTCTTTCTTCTGGAAGGGCAGTGAATGTTGCAACATATTCTCATCAGGGATCTGTATCATACTCATACACATGTATCTGAGGTTAAAAACTCCCAAAGAATTATTAAAAGCATATAATGTCCATCACTGACAAGTTAAAATAAATACCTTTAATGGTGAGTTTTTAGCTTCAGGGAATTCCCTTTCATCAAGCCTCATCCAACGCTGTAGAAACTGTTGTACCATTGGGTTTTCATTATTAACAATCTGGAATCCAGTAATGTTGGCACCTCCATGCATTACTCTCTCCAGAACAATGTCTGTGAAACCCTGGGAGGACACACATAGAAAAAAAAAAATCATTGTCATCCAAAGCCACTTTACTCTGGCTCAGTTTTACCTGCTACAAGTGCAGCACAAAAGACACCACTTAATGTCCCTCTTGTTAGTGGAAAATGTTCAACCAAAGAGACAACTGCTATCACAATTAGGATTTTGATAGTGGCATAGAATAGAATTTAAAACATCTTGCTCTTTTCAATAGAAAACTTCCCTTTTGGGTTGTGGCAATGTGGTCGGTAATATTTGCCATTCAGAAAGAAAATAGCAGGGAAACTTGAAGTACTGTTTCCTCTTTTGTCCTAATCATGGTGAAAACTGGTCAAGGACCTCAAATCCCATTTATATAGCAAAGGGAACACAGAGGTTCAGGGCTGGGGAATAAAACTACTCAATCTCTTGCTAGGCAGTTCTCTATCACAGCATCACTCAGCATGTCATGTGCATGCAGAATGGGATGATTCTCTCCCACTCTGTTGTTATTTATACCTGAGGCAGTAAATTGGAGTCTTTTTGATTAGTATGACTTGATTGCAGTCATGTTGATCTGAATGTCAATGGTTACACAAACTAAAAGGCAACCCAGAATAAGAACCTCTGTATTTCTATGCACGAGCTAATCAGTGAGATCATGACTGCTTCTTAAAATGCAAAACGATGCATCTTAAAGTCATACAGTATTTATACTAAATAAGGATATTTAAAAATTTGTCTTTCCTGCTTTAATCACACCAAAACATGGATAACAGAGAATCTTTGAGTATTAGGATTGCCAACCAAAAAGTAAGAGTTTTGGAAAAACTCACATTTTTCTACTCACAATAGACATAGAACCTAAAAATGAGTATTCCCGCAAAACTAATTACAATACAAGACTTTTTATAAGGAGCTTAAGTAGATGGTGCTTCAAAAGCATCACAAACATCCTGAAAGTCAATCCTACTCTACAGAAGATGCTCTGATACAAACAGAAATGTATGGCCTCTTCCTGGTAGGTCAGCACATACACAGGCACAACCCTACACTCTGAAATACAAAAGGAAAGCTAAACAGTCTTGGTGATTTACTTCATAGAATTATTCTAATTTGCAGCTTTTTATCACTTATACAGAAATATGCTACAATTATTTTTCCTGGCGTGTTTAAATTAAAAATATGTTATATAGGAAATCACAGTCATCATTTATGAGGATAGAAATTACTGGAAAATATATAATTAAATTATTACTTTAAAATTAGTAGGGGAATTGACATTTTCTGACAAAAGAAACTGAGTAGAGATGACATACCAGTTACAGTATTTACTGAAGTAATTTCTCAAAATCCAAGTACTCATCCATGCATTTCCACTTCCTGATTAAAGTTTCCACAACCTGAACAGAATATTTTACCCTCTAAAATGTAGCTAAAATGTAAAATGTATACTTTCCGTGAAGAAAAATTCTTACCAGGTTAGCTAACATGTAGTGATAGCCTCTAGAATGTTTGCCGAGGACTACAACCTGTGTGGAGAAAAACATTACATATTATTCAGTTGTAAGATGACTCTTAACTAGTGGAAAAGAGACAGAGAATGAATATTTTGATAATCTTCCATGTTCAATCCATGGGCAGCATGAAAATTCCAGATCTGTGTCATTACAGACAAGATGCAGTCATTTGTGTTTTTCAAACACATGGGCAGAGTACAACAAAGAGTAACTCATGAGGTTGAGAAGACTCTGCTTGCAGAGATGACCTTACCTGGCAAATTCACTCTTGTGCTCACAGTGACCACCCTGCTGACCAGGTTAATTTTAGTTACCAGTTCAAGTATTTCTGTTCTGAAATGAGGTAACACTGTATCTATGCAATGTAAACTCCTGTTTACTTCATTGCTTGCTTGTGAAATGTAGGAGAGGTGTAGAAGACAGTCCAGCCACTCACTGTGTTTATTAACCTGTACCAGCACAGCAGGGCTGGGTAGGCTCCAAGCTGTCCAGGGAGTTCCCTAACTGGCCTGGCCAAGCCTTTTCATGTATGAATGTCTAAAGTTAAATCCCCGAAGTTATAAGCAGTGACCTTTATTGCCTTTTGACAGGTTTTGACAAAAAACTTGTTATTTCCAGTGCATCTAAATGGATACATCTGACCTTACAATGTTTTGTCAAAATTGCAACTAAATGTTATGTTGTGCATTCCACTAAGCAACATCTCCTGCCTCGCTGACCTCACATGGGCATCTCTCCGTACAAACAGTCATTAAGTGGAATTGCTAAGAGACAAAAGGGCAGCAGGATGAACTCAGCAGCTGGATTCTCTGATGGTAATGGGGAACAGTGGAGGCAGTACTGTCTGGCAAGCCTGAACTCTGCCATCCTGTGTGCTCCCTGCCACTCCAGGAATGCTGCACTTTTGCATAAGGAAGGAAAACACACACTTCCCATGTCTACACAGCTGGCAGCTGGCTCACCAGGAGAGCCACTTGTGCAAAATTGTGCCCTCTCCTTCAGATTATAATCTCACAAACATCCATCCAGTCCCATAGCCATCAAATGGAACACCATCCACCAGTTTATTATTTAATTTATAATTGTGGTGATTGCATGGATTCAGGACATAATCCATTCTATCCAGGCTTGCTGGGTTAAAAACAGCAAACAGTGCTGGTAATACACACAAGTATTATCGTAGCATATGTCCTACAAGCAGCTCAAACAAACAGATGATGCTTTTTGATGGAGAATCATCTGAGAATCTATACATAACCATACAAATGTACTCCATGATCACAGAAAAACATTCCAAACGCTGCACTTTAAAAGACATAACCACTTATATCTTCGTTAAAAACAGACTACATTTGAGTCACTGGCTTTAGATATACTGCTGAGTCTGCTCAAGTTCTTGATTAAATTATTAAGTTCCCAATTGCCTCTTTGGGTAGTATTGTCCTTAATAGATGCCATTTCTTTTAAATTCACATTTAATTCTGTAGGAATTTGTGTACTTCCAGCAGCCTGAAAATAAATTTTTCAGGTGCTCTTGAGAACTGTATGTACACTCTGTTGGTAGAAAGCATCTGCTTTCCTACATTCACATTTGTTTTCTGTGGAAATATGCAGGCTTCCTTCAGATCATCTGGTGTGCATGCTATTCGCATACTGAACTCCCTGTATGTTTCAATTTCACCTTAAAGGCAGGTTCACCTTAGAGGCAAAATAATTATTTAAAAACAACAATTGTGATTTTAACCTTAACAACAAATAAGAAAGCTTTTACATTTCTATTCAGAAATGTGTTTATTTAAGAGAAAAATATCACTACAGATGAAGTCAGAGTATGTAAGAAAAATATACATGGAACTATTAGAGGCATCAAGAGCAATACTGCAAACAGGAAATGTAGGACTCATTAGCATAGATCAGACTAAAGATTTGTCTCATCTGTTGTCATGTCTTCAAAATGACTCTGTTTATTAAAGCTTTGAGAGGTCCAACATACTACAGTAAAGCTTTAATTCATAAAGCATCTTTCAGAAGTGACCTGACAGCATTGCTATTCATACAATCAACCATGTTGGCTCATAACTATCAAACTGGATCTTAACAATGTGTTTAAAATTCACTACACACTACATAGCTGTCCTAAATCTTAACAAGTACAACTCTCCTCCTCCCTCACTTTCCACTCTGTACCAACTGTCCAGCATGTTGAAGGGAGCTGCTGGATTAGCGAGCCCAGCAGAAACAATCACAGACATGTGTTACTCCCAGGGGAGTAAAGTGATGAATAAAGCTTTTTTAGGAAGAAGGAAAACAGGAGTATAACAGTATAACAGGAGTATAACAAATAAATCTCATCAACTGCTGATATATTGTGAAGCTTATACAGAAAGTGGGATATTGAAGAGTGGTGGTGAACAGAAAGCCAGGATTACAGGGCAAGGATTTCACAGAGCTACATGTCATTCGTAAGTTTGACTTCTGAGACTTAATAGTGCTTTCACCTTGACTGAAAGAAAAGCTTATAAGATTTTACACTGAACATCGGAGAAGAGAAAAAAGTGGCTGGAAACCATTATGAATAATTCAGATTTCTGATCCCACATAATTCTTGCTTTGTAGATAAAAAGATCATAATGTAAGGTTTGATATAGAATCCAATACATTTTGTATTTTTAATTAACTCTTTGGATATTTCAAATTAATTAAGAGAACATCTAGAGGGAAAATAACTAAAATGTATCAGCTTTCAAAATAAAAGTGAAATCTGCTGGTCAGCACCAGGCTTACTTGAAGTACAGACCTAGATGCCAGATTGAGAAATTTAGTCAGCACTGGCAATTTTACTTTTCCTTTTGCCTAGGGAAGTTATTTTTTGAATGCTAACATAAAGACAATTTGGTTTCCACTGCATCTGTCATCATTATAATAAATAGGCAACTACAGATTTTTGCCTTAGTTTTTAGATTTTTCTTAAAGTTTTGGGAGACAGCACTAAAGATATTAACTGGCTAATATTAAGTTGTTATGAGCCATTTTGGTATTTCTAGAGCAATAATGTTAATTCTCTCATGAGGACACCCATGTCTCTCCTACACTGGTGAGCTCAGAATTGTACATGGCACCTCAGATGCAGTCTCACCTCTGCAGAGTAAAAAGGAAAGGTCACCTCTAGTGACTGTGCTAATCCAGTACAGTCCAGGATGCTGGTGGTCTTCTTTGCTGTGACAGCACAGCTGACTTGTGGTCAGCTTGAGTGCCAGGACCCCAAGATCCTTCCCTGCAGAGCTGCTTTCCAGCCAGGAAGCCTCTACCCGGACTGTACTGGTGCATGGGGTCATTCTTCTTCAGGCTTTGCACTTCCCTTTGTTGAACTTCATGAGGTTCCACTCTGCTCACTTCATCAGCCTGTCCAAACCTTATAGCACAACTACTTCGTGTATCACACCTCTTAATTCGGTATCATCTACGAACTTGCTGAGACTGCACTCCATCCCACAACCTTCAGATCCCTCAGAGAGAGGTTAAACAGGATTAGCCCCAGTACCCTCAGGGTACCCCAAATAACCTCCAGCTGGCCTCTGTGTTGATGATCACAACCCTCTAAGCCCAGCAGCTCAGTCATTTTTAAATCCACCTTCCTGCCTCTGTGGGCTTTAATTTTAAAAAGTCACTGAAAAATACAAGCTAAGAGGATATGCTTGCACTTTTACTGAGAAAAGGAGCTATCATAACTTTGGCAGCAATGAAAGTAAAACTACCATTAATACCCATCCAATTAATACCTGTTAGGAGCATATCTTCCCTACACTTGAACCCACTGCCATCTAGTCAGTTTAGTCTGACCAGGTTGTCAGACTAAAGGATTTATCATCCTTTATTTACAAATGAGAGAAGAAAACAAACAAAAATATAGATCACAATAGTACAGACTACCTAATCTACAGCTCAAAACCACAATATTTTATGAGTCTATTAGATCTTTCCATAAGATCATCCATACTGATGCTGACAGGCAGTACTGTCACAAAGAAGGTCTGAAAATTTTTACTGTGCTTTTCATACCTGACAAGTGGCAGAAATACTCCACTTTAACGAAAAGACAGGCAGAGATCTGACCTGCTGCAATGTGTCTTTCCATTTTGACCGTATCTGGGAACAATGAGGCACTGTTAACTGTAGAGTTCTTTTCTAGGTTTTAGTAAGACAGTAGTAAGAAAAATTGGATTTCCTGTAAGATCAGAGTTAAAAAGTATTCTGTTTTCTTTGTTGAGGTTATCTGTACATTAATTTGGGTTCCACTGTTGCAAAAAGCTCATACTTGAAAAAAGAATTTACTGTTTTTCAAGTATACATGCACATTACTGAGAACAGGAGAACTTAGCTACTTCTAGTTAGCAGTAATGTGCCTTTACACCTTGCTATAGAAATACAGTTATGACACCTTTGCTTTCAAAGCAGTGAGCAGATGTCTGAAGTGATCACACAATTCCTTCTTTCCCACAGCAAACAAGCAAAACTAATAAATGGACTCGGGTATAAGAAAATTTTAACAGCATCATAGGATAGCTATCAGTGTTGATTGCACTTCATGGGAGCAGAGGGATATCAAGCATAGCAACAACTATACGGCAAGGCTAAATTGTTGTGGAGCACACTATCTTCTCACCTGGGTAGCAGGTCAGGTGTTCTCTAGCTTCTACCTCTATTGAAAGCATTTATGTTCTGAGGATGGACTTGAAGCTTATCTCAGATCTGAGCAGCTTGTACCTACATTGTATTGAATGACTGAAAAGTTGTGCCTGGTGATGCAGCAGCCTATTGAACCAGTGGTACTGGCTAATTTGTCTTCAGGAGAAAATGAAGAATGGAGAGGAACAGAATATTAGGGTGACCATCCAATTAGTTTAATAGAAACTGAAGGCACGGCCCAAAAAGTTGTCAGTACATTAGCAAGATGTTTAACCTCTCTTGAGTGCCATCTGCAAGTACTGCATCTCAGCTCAGTTCCTACACCT